ATAACCGATAAGATAGGATTCTCAAATTCAGGGAAATACTGCCCACTACCACTGTTCCTCTCAGAATAACGAGAAAATCTTGGAAAACTTGAGGTTTGTTTTGCTCATGAAACTCCAACAACTAACATTACAATCCATCTAGACAAAATAATCTTCTACTATCCTACCTGGCTATATCGCCTTTTATTCGACCCAATATCTGCTCCACCTTGATCTTGGTAAACTGTTGGGGTATGTCCTCGTGGAACTTCCGTTTCCTCCCTTGATGGAAATTTTCTGGGAAGTGCTCCAGAAGGAATTCTGTGTCGTACTCATTGAACTCATCATTTTCGAAAGCAATCGTTAATTGGAGATCTGATGATAAAGTGAGCCGCAAGCCGGACGCCTGAAACTTTGAGACAATCAATTTTAAATGCTTTAGCTGAATGAAATTCGTGAACGTTGACGTTGAGTGAGAATATCGGTTACGTGCAGGCCTTTGAGCCATACTAAAGCATGGTGCATTCTTGCTGCCCAACTAAAATCGATTGCATAGACGTACTCTAACGACCCTGAGGGTGGAGGGCGACCTGACCAGCGTCGCGATTGAATCGTCACTACCTGGGTAGGGGCCAACAGTCACCGGGTGTGGTTTAGTGGGACAGGAAGGAATTTTCCGCTTTTCGCAGAACGAAGCTCTTTTCGCTGCGGGAATCTCAGGTCCAAGGCTGTTCTGTGTGGACCTAAAGTCTTGCCGCGAACAAGTTTCGCGTGCGAGAAGCAGAAAAGTCGCTTCTGTCCTATTGAACCACACTCACCGTTATGTTGTATCAACCCAAAATTTTTACGCCTCGCCCCCCCCCCCCCCCCCTATACGATTTCCTCTAATGGTTGATGGTGTCGATAGCTTCGTTGAACCTGCCATCATTTGATTCACTCTAACATCAAATAAACAGCTTCAAAGTTGGTGTTTAGTGCCGAGCGAAAGAAGGCATACAGCTCCTGGAAAACTCAGCAAATTCTACTCCATACCAGCGTATTGGCTCCACTTCCAGTATGTCTTCCTCTTATCATGACCTTCCCTCACCCCACGCCTACCACCCCTCCACACAAAAAACACCCAAAGAAGGCCTCCCATCCAAAAAACCACAAAATCGATCTCTCTCGTTCGGAAAACCTAGCGGGCGGTTGACTCTGGCGGGTGTGGTGTTGTGCATTCAACGCTGAGAAATTGCGAGGGTCACAAGCGACAAACAATGGAAAAGTTGCCACACTCGATACTCAACCTCACATTTCAATAACCAAAAAAACTGTACAGAAAGATACTTACATCTCGCAGCTTTGGTAAATAGGCGTCAATATTCCTGATTTTGAAAGGAACGGAAACTAATATTCCATTGAGATCCGGTCTCGCTTGTTTTATGATGGTTTGTCGAAGAGTTTGTGATATAGGTAAATTAAGAGCCAGTGTGCAAGCGGGCGCATCATATGGCGAATCTTTCAGTTGGGCTGCCACAGCTTCGGCTACCCTATTAGACAAATCACTGAGACGAAGTGGCCAACGAAAACAGCCTCAATATAATGCTATACGAAGTTAAACGGGAGATTTACCCCGCCGAATACCGATACACACGGCGCCGCTCGGGTAAATCTCCCGTCGCTCGCATCGCTTGAGCGATCCGTCGCTCCTGCAATTGGTGCAAAATCGCTCCAATCGCAAAGTCTGACATCGGCCAATGGCGGAGAGCACAGACTTAGAGAACGGCGCCTGGATTCCAAATCCCAAGGAGGGAGGTGAGAGCCTAGGACTAAGCCTTGGAGGGGGAGGAACTCCGAGGTGGGTGAGCCAATTACAGTGTGGCAAAAGTTTGAATGTGTGAGATCACAGTGGTCATGAGCCGCTGATAAGGCGAGAGAGCGCAGACGAGAGCATCGAATTGAGGCGGCTTAAAGGGCTGAGTTCAAGTAGTCAGTTGGCTCCAAGATGGCAATTACTAATTAGGAAATGTGAAAACCCCGTCCACAAGGGAATTTGTTCTTCCATTCAAGAGTCCTTCCCCTCCGAAAGTCATCACTCTTTTTGCTGAAAATTGCTTTCACATCACTCGGTATCAGTGCCGCACAACAAAAAAAAACCGAAGATATAGCGTGAGAATGAAGCTCATCGCTGCAGTAATTTCTAGCTTCAGAGTGCTTGTGGAATTTGAAATTTCCGTTATCCGCATGAACCAAACATCCACTTCTCTCAGGTAAATTGGGCTGAAGTTCATTTTGGCTGAGGATGTAAACTAAGTTTCAACGGTGAAAATAAGATTTTTACAAAGAGTCAACCCCGTCCATGTGCGCGGAAAGGTGATATCACTCACTAGAGACACATTCATTCAATCAAGTCATTTCATTCGACGGTGAGTGAATCCCTGAGAATAGTGGAAACATACCTTCGATAGAGTATTTGAAAAATCAACTCAAAGTTTTTTTTTCGATTTTCTTTCTTTACTGTTCAGCCTAGTTCAATGAAGGATAAGTGCATATCGCCATCTCAAAATGTTAGTTCTGGATCTAATTGTTTAACCGGTTAACTTGGAGTATTATACAATTGTGTCTTAAAAAGCATCTGCTTACAGAGGACTTTCTGGTCTGTCAAGCGCTGGCTTTCTCATATTATTTAAAGTGATTTGAACAAAAAATGAAGCCAAATTGCTCAGCATTAGGCTACAACCGAAGGATTAAGAGTGGTGGTCGTGCAGTTGTTTTTGCGATAGGAAATCGACTCTGCTCCATAACCATTTTCTTATTTCAGTGGATGCTGGTCATCGCGCTATCATGTTCAATCGTATCGGCGGACTTGCCAACGATGTCTATAAAGAGGGATTGCATTTTAGAATTCCATGGTTCCAGTATCCTATTATATATGATATTCGTGCTCGACCAAATCAAGTGGGTACTTATCAGAACTCAACCAATGCTATGCTTTCCACTTACCCTGTTTTGCGAAAAAAATTGCTTCTCTGTTCTCTCACTTTTTGGCTCGATAAGAGTTTTTTTTAACGAATTCTTCATTAATTTAAAAACGAAAATTATACATGAAGAAGCCAAACACTATAGTGGTGCCGTTCGCTTTAGCATTTGAATTTTTCATGTTCCTATCATTTCAGATCCGTTCTCCTACTGGAAGCAAGGATTTGCAAATGGTTAATATCGGTCTCCGAGTTCTTTCTCGTCCGAACCCTGACCAGCTCGTGAGAATGTACCGAACGCTCGGGCAGAACTGGGAAGAGAGAGTGTTACCATCGATCTGTAATGAGGTGTGGTTTGGATTCATTCGGTAAACTGTGCTATAGAGCCATATGATCATGTGATCTTTTGAGTCATTACCCTGTGATTGGTGTTTTGCTCTTCTAGGTGCTCAAAAGCGTAGTAGCAAAGTTCAACGCATCACAGCTTATCACTCAGCGTCAACAGGTGATTTCTCTAAGTTTTTATTGATCGAATCCAAAATGAGCGTTTCATCTACTTGTTGATCCTAGGCACATTCTGCTATTTTTTTTTCGAGAAAAATAATTGTTGTGACAGTCGGGCCGTTTCGTTGGGAAATTTGGTTTTTCAAGGTGTCCATGCTGGTTAGGAAAGCACTCATCGAGCGGGCATTGGACTTCAACATCATCCTCGACGACGTCTCTCTTACTGAATTGGCCTTTTCCCCGCAATACTCAGCTGCCGTAGAGGCGAAGCAGGTGTGTTTACTTCGTCCATTCAGGATGTTCTCTGAATCTGTATATCCCTCATGACTGCGCTAATTAAATACTCGTTCTCAACACCACAAGATAGGACGGTGCTCGTTTTGACTTTCTCCGCCGCGTGGCACAGGCGCAATTTTGCTAGCGCAGAATATCACAAAGAAATTTGTAGGCATGATCAGTGCTTAGAAGTTATCCTAGTAATCGGGAATATAGTGGTAGAATTTTGATCAGAAGGAAGTGTACTGACAAAGTAGAAACTTTATGCCTATGCTGGAGCTAGGGAACTTTAAAAATTTTTGTAAGTTGGCGTTTTAGTAAAAACATGTATTTTGCGATGCTATTTGTGTTTTCTTCTTCTGCTCTTTATTATCTGCAGGTTTATGAAAATAAAACGCAAATGAGGAATGAACTGATTGAACATTTCGTATGCTATACGAATCTCTACTTACATGTTGGACTATGCTGCGAACCAAGCATTTACAGTGGTATAATGGCATAATATATGGAATAGAGGCAAACATTTGGGAAGAGGTGGTGCAAGCGAGAAAGAGGGTTAACATGTAGACACGCAACCGCGTCATGCTGCCGTCAGTGTGATAATGCACAACAAAAAATTTAATTCAAAGGGATTTTCTGTCATAGTGTGATTTCCTTGAAAGTTTAAGCCAAGGGTTTGTAACCAGCATATCCCTTATCCATATTGTTCCCTTATCCAGATCAAGTGAAATTTCTGATTATTTTCCAGGAGCTCCCCATTCTCTCTTAATCTCTTTGTTCCGGGTGGTTCTTTCCATCTATCACTTTTTTCCATCTGATAGTTCTTTCTACTTTCCTCTGAAGTGAAACTGTCGTTTTGAAAAAGAGAAAACTTTTTTGTAGTGGGTATTGATTTGTAAGGTGATAAGTTGTTCAGGTAGCAGCCCAAGAAGCTCAGCGCGCTTCTTTCTTAGTGGAGCGGGCTAAGCAACAACGTCAAGAGAAGATTGTTCAAGCTGAAGGAGAAGCTGCATCGGCTAAAATGGTTAGTTCCATGTTTTACGATTTTTGCTGTTTGCACTTTCTTCGATTTTGTCGTTAATCTTGACAAACTTAAGAAATGTTCCTAAGTTTGTTGTAAGGCGCGACATAGATCAAAAAGGATTTTGATACTACAGGCCTTTGATAGAGCAAAAGGCTTGTTAATTGCAATCTGACACCCACTGTTCCTTTTATTCTGCGATTATCGGAATGCAGTGTCATTGTTGATTGTTCAGCTTGGTGAAGCTATGAAGACGGACCCAGGTTTTCTGAAGTTGCGAAAGATTCGAGCTGCTCAAACTATTGCTCGAGTTGTTTCGGAATCGAATAGCAATAAGGTATGGGATTCATATTTCTCTCAAAAGCTTATTTGAGTTCATCCGCTCTCGTTTCAGGTTTACTTGCCTGCTGGTGGACTCATGTTGAATATAGCCGATGCTGATTACATGAATATTAATAGCGATAGCAAGAGAAGATAATCTTTTTTTTTTCTAACCGCCCAGGGCCTCAACTATAGGAAGGCGGTTTTGCGAAATTCTACAGCGTTTGAAGGCACTTCATAAGCACTGGTTAATCACATTAGGTTAGATTCTAAAATTCATAGTCTGTTACATTCTGCTACGGTACCATGAGACGTTATTGTTTTTATTTTTCTGCTTGTTAGTTTTCCTTAGATTTGAATTTGTTCTGTCTATGAATATTTATATCCCTTTATTCTCGTAACAATTTAAAATACTCTGCAGTCGATGACACATCGTTATGTACAAACACGAACGAGCGAAATATTTTGATTACCTTCGTAACACGCGTACGTCTAACCAAAATATTTGATGAGTGGTCATTCGTACTTAGTATCCACATGAACACAACACACATGAAGATGCAAAACAAGTTCCCTACGTTTGAGTCATTAAACGACTAGAACACTAGTGAGATCCAATTAACTGTCTTGAATATGATCCCTGAAGCAAGATTTGATGTCGTTTAAGACGCTCCAGCATGGTAACATTGAGACGTCAGCCTGTAATAGAAAGTGTAATGACATTTGTTGGTTTGAAGTTAGTGCTCTAAATATATGCCCCTTATTTCTAATCGCGTTAACATCGGATAGGCGCCGCATTTTCAATCCAACACGATCCTGTTCGCCGCTTGATAGAACTTATTTGGCACGATAGCGTGCGGACAAGCTGGTTATTCAACACGAGGAACTTGCTGCTCGCCTCTATGATTGAATGACCGATCATCAGCGCATTGTTTGTCTTTTGCCAAAGGCGAATCGAAACCGAAACCGGTTGTCTTGAACATGATACTCAAATTGTGAAGAACATAAACTAAGAGTTATTCGAAACGGTCAAAATTTTTAGTTTTCCTTTTCTCTCAAACAGTTTCCCGTTAAGGTGATGGAGTTTTCTGCATCAGTTATAACCTTTCGGATTTTTTAATTCCATTCGAAATCCTGCATTTGTTTCTATGCATACCTTTTGGGGCTATGCAAAAGTGATTGCTTTATACTATGAAAGTCGTCGAAATCGTGAATTGTAGGGAAAAGGAGGCTCGATTCAATCGCGTAAAGTTCCATCCTCTAAAATGTGTGGTGACGACGCTACACCCAGTGCACTGCACCCATTTTTGCTATTTTGTTGCCCCTCTCGCAAAAAATCCGACGTAGATGGATCCTGACTTGAAGCTAAAAACGCCGAGCTTTCTCAAGTTATTGGACAGTGCTGAGCACTTCGACCTTTCATACGTTAAGGTTATAGTGGATATGAGGACGAAAATCCTCTTTTAATCTCTCATTACAATCGGATATTGAATGAAGAATGCTTACTTGGAAGCTGTTGCCCGGCCGCATGTTGCAGAAGCCGAGGACATTTGTTACCGGCGCTGGTAGTCTGTACCCCTCGTTCGATACAGCACTCAGTGTGATCCCGAGATTGAGCAGCGCATTGCATCAAATCAAGTCCATAAGATTGTGGACATGGATCTGTGCCCAGGAACATGGCAGTCAACTGAAATAGAACAATTTATAACTCTCCTTTTTCTTAACAAATCCCATAAGTCTTTGAACAGGCTTTGAAGTGGTTTATTGAGTGAATACAAAAATCATCAGTACTGATTGACTCGACTCAATTTAAAATAACGTGTTAACTGTGTAGGAAAGGATTCTCGTTTAAGATAGTACACAATTTCTGCGTTACCTTGTCTGCATCAAATCTTATCCCTTCGATCTTTACGGATAAGGCTAATCGAAGAGGTGTTATCGGCAAGCATGTTGGCAAAAAATCCAAAAGCTCCTGCTCGGTGCATGTTGATAGCTCGACTGATGTTGTACGGCAGTATTCAACTGAATCTCCTAAGGAGTTAACTTGATCAAGCTTGGAGCTCCACTGGGCAAAAAAAAAGCCGCACATGACATCGAATGTATTGGAAAAGTGGTGAATGCGTCAATTCCAACTAACGGTAAGAACACTTTGGTTAGAATATCTCCTAAATTACTCTTGTAAATCGGAAAACTCCGGCAAATCGCTTACGCATTTCTTTTTCGTGAAAATTATTATCCATTGACGCGGATAAAAAATGTGGTCGACACCTCGCCGCCTAGTGTCGCGTTTCAATTGACAGCTTTTGTATGACAGTTTGGGACGCGCTGCGCATGTTCGATTCTACACCCTCTTTTTGAAACAAGTGCCACCTTCTTCCAAGTTGTCATATTCTAACAGATATACACTAAAAATAACTACAACTGGGTAATATTGCCAGAATTCTTTTATGGGATTTATATACTGCAAACTGCCTACACTCACCGTCTTCTTATTTAACACATCGAAATTACATATCCGTTCGCAGGACTTTCGCAACGTTGATTGACTTGCAGCAACCCAAGAAGATATCGTTGGCTTTCTGAAAATTCGTGAGTTATTTGTATCAGTGGTGCAGTGTGAAGAATAATCACATACCTGGGCACTGTTCACTGGAACTGAAACTTTCGGTATCGGTCTGTTGGGAACAACGATAGCAAGAGGTCGTTGTGGTGTAGCAACCGGATTTGGTCGTTGTTGAACGACAGGATTGGGTCGCTGTACTGGAGGCGATCGAGTCGTTGCAGTGACTCTGAATTAGGACTGGTTTATTTACTGTTGAATATCCACATGAATTCTATGTTGTACTATTGTAGCCATCACTGTTTTCTCGAGGAGATGAAATGGCTCGTATCAAATGAAAACGTAGTTGGAAAAGGCGTGGCTGGCTCACATCGTTAAGGGGGAGTATTGAAGTGAGTGAGCCGTTTGTAGGAGTTGGAACTAAGCTTCAGGGAGGAAAAGGGATTCTGGGAGAGGACGCTGGCAACCTTTGTTCTCCTGGCGCTTCTCCCCTCTCCTAGGCTTAGGTTAGTCCTGGTGTCACCTACTAGCGATGTTTGAGTGCCCTGTTTTGAATGTCCCGAAGGCCATGAGGGCCGGAATTATAACAAAAATAAGCAATGATAGCGGAAAGACTGTGGAATTTTCAAGCAGAACTTGACCATTTTTAGTAGAACCTGCTATGAGGTTGACAACGCAGTGTTTAGGGAGGTTGGCTGCGATTGCTCCTAAGATTCAGCCAATCGTGGGCGGGCTCCGACTCCAATATGAACCTAACTTTTATTGGATGGAGTGGTGACGCCGAGCATGTGAGCGGTATTCTCAATTGGTGGGATCTGGAGCCGTAATCAGCGCTATACCGAGCTGGAATAATGGGGAAATCCCTCGTGATTTGTTCAGATTTTCAGTTGATGTCTTACTCCCAACATTTTCATTTTACTTGCACAAGGGCACTTACAATAACTCTTTCTGAGCAGCCCTGCCTGGAAAAGTTAAATCAAATTCGTATAAGGGCTTCTTGGGCTTTTTGCGTACCAAAGGTGGGCTTTTGCATGAAGAGCGCTTTAGCAGCGGTCTAGAAAGGACTCACCCGGGGCATGAGTTGCATCCGTGGCAGCTCTCGCCTTCCGGGGGGCGGAGTTGGCTTATGATTGGCTGATGGTGAGAGGTTGCTGTGAAGGTGTGAACGAGTGGAGGTGGAGTAAGACTTTCACATCAATAACGTCGACCTATCGTAGAACTCTCCCAACGCGGAAACTAATGAGGAGAAGAGGGGTACTTTTCTGTAGCTTTGAGCCAATTTCTTCTGTTTTTTTCTCCTCTTTTGCAATTCTCCCTTGAGTCCTTCTTTCCAATGGCTAGCCATTTATTGAAAATCTTATTTAAAGGCAAGAATCAGGATTACATTAATGGGTTGATTCCACTCAAATGTGAAAG